TTTTTGCCGATCAGGAAAGTCGAATGATTATTCACTTCGATAACGATGATCAGAACAATTTTTTGTCGTCCGATTATGAACTGAATTATTTGGAGATCTGAGGGTGAGGCTGTGTAGGGTAAGGGTGAGTGGGGGTGAGGGTGAGCACTTGATGCTGAACGGCCGATATTACTCAAATGTCGGTCGCTCAAATGTCGGGGCGCTCAAGTGGCGGTCGCTCAAATGTCGGGGGCGCTTAAATGTCGGTCGCTCAGGTGTCGGTCGCTCAAATGTCGGGGGCGCTCAAGTGTCGGTCGCTCAAATGTCGGGTCGCTCAAATGGCGGGCGCTTAAACGTCGGTTAATCGAAAATTTTAGTGTATAAAACGGAGAAGGATTTTTTAGAGAATGGAAGTAGGGCTAAAAAGAGAACGGTCGCCCATTTATGGTCGAATCTGGAGTGATTAGAGAACGATTCAGAATTCCGAGTTTGAAAGACTGAAAAGAGAACGGTCGTATGTTCGAATAGTGATCTATATATATCTTGCATTATATATATATATATATATGATATATATATATATATGATATTTCAAAAAAGTAGAGCAAGACTAGATTGGACCTCAGAATATGATTCTTTTACTGTTTACGTATCGATGTATAAATATGAAGAAGCATGCGTATGAAAAATTCTACTTTAGAACAGTAAAAGAGAGTATACAGTGAAAAAATAACTTTCACAGCCGTTCTCTTTTCAGCCCCGTTCTCTATACAGCGAAAAAAACTTAATAATTCGCACTCCGTTCTCCATTCAGTCCAAACACCGTTCTCTTTTCATACTTTTTCCATATAAAACGGCGTGTACATCCGTGAATGTCGTGAAATGAACTGTGATCACACGTGAACAGCATAAAATATAGTGTGTGGGCACGCGTGAAAAATATATACCACTTGAGACAACGTGAGAACTGTTCACGGAAACCTTTCGCCTCATATTTTTGCACTCGGTCGTTAGTGGACCTCGTAAAATGGAATGTAGACACATGTGAAAAGAAATTCCCGCTTGTGAACGTGTGTGAAATTATAGAAAGTTCACATGTGACCAGGCATTTGATGTTGCAGTTACACGGCCCCAACTTAGTGAAACTTCGACATAATTTTCCCATATGAACGCTTTTAATTTAAATAAGCCACTATATACTTATTAAGATGTAGATCTTTTTTTCTGACTTTCGATTTCGTTCACAGTCTTAATTAGTAATTACTAAATATGATAAAGTGAATATAAATGATTGAAGAAAATTGATATTTTATTATAGAACTTTGCGTAGTACGGATGAAACAGTTCCAGTTCAGTTCTTTTGAACGGGAACTGGTACCAGTTCGAGTTCGAAAAGAACGCGCGTTGGTACCAGTTCTTTTCAAAAAATTAAAATTGAAATCAAATCGGTGAACCTACTTACATTGACTTTGTGTAGTGTGCCAGAGGTAGATGGTGTATTTAGTTGACTAAACCAAGTCAATATAACTAGTTACATCCGTTTTCTTCTATTTTGAATTCTTGAAAAGAACTAGTAACCAGTTCCCGTTCAACTAGAACTGAACCGGCGACCAGTTCTTAATAACTATAAGAACTGGAACTGTCCCACCCCTATTGCGTAGCTCTTTTAAAAGTATTTCCCTTAAGTATCAACGTTTTTACTCTTTTTTTCTTGGACACCCAAACATTTTTAGATTAAATCAGAAACAGTATATAGTAATGAATACTAGATGCATGAATCTTTTGATACCAAACTAAGAAATTATATTAATCGACTGTTTCTCATAGCAATGTCGTTTTTTCAGTTATAGTTAGAAAAATTTAAGAAACCAGCAGAATTATTGTGGTAGACATAATAATTTTTTTAAATATGTTAATGTCAAGTATGAAAGGCAAATTTTGCTAACTAATATATATATATATATATTCATTATTGCTGAATTCAACATATCTGTATACAGACAGAGACAATAGGTTCTCTATTACTTTTTATTATTTTGTTGTATATAATAAATTATTTATATCCAAATGTATAACCTTGCACGTGTGTATAGACAATATACTCCTTCGTAGAAAAATTAATTACAAAAGAGAAAAACTCTATTATTGTCATTGATAAACTACATCATACAGTAAACAACAATAGAATTTTTTTTTGTCATTTGTCTCACTCTATGGCGTTTGACTATAAGAGTTTGGACTATGTAAAATCGAACAATTAGGTAAGTTAGCCTCCAATTCATATTCATTGAATAATCAGTAAACTTGATAGCTTATCTTGCATGAAAACGATGTTAATAATAATTTTACTTCAGAAAATTAAAATGAGATAAGAAGTAAGATGTTGATAACAAACACATGCCTCGAAAAATTAGCAGTACGTAGATGAAAGTATCAAATTTATGACTTGTACGAGAAGCTTTTGAGGATCACTATTGAAAAAGTGACGTATATATTGTTATATCATTTCGAAGATTTATAGTCTATACTATCGATTGAAAGCTAAGAAAATTTGTTTCAAACTATGTCTGTTATAAGCCTAGACATCCTTGTGATTGTACACTCCAAAATGATCGTTATTTTTCGTAAAACTGTCGACGTGTCAATGGATTTTTTTATTGATCCTTTGAGAGCTCTTATTTAGAAAGTCATGTGTCACCTTGATGCATGCACCATATCTGATAGATTTTTGATATTCCCAAAAGGGAAAAATATTATATTTTTTAAGAATAATTATAGCGCATTGACGTAAATTAAGCGACGATGGTGGCCTTCTCTTATACACAACAAAAGAGCAAATGTTGATTGTTTTATATTACTCGCGTCAGCATTTATCGTTTCCATTATATATTGGTAGCAGCAATGGAGACGATTGATAGATATGTCTCGTTGCTCATTCACAAACACAATAATAAACATAAAGAGCACATAATTTTCTTCTCCTCTTTTTTTTTTTATTCCTCTGTCGAATAACAGATATTTTTTCTTTGAAGTATTTTTCCTGATGTCGTATATCACCACAAAAATGATACAGAGAGGTTGTGACAGTTGTATTAGTAGTGAGAACATAGAAATTTTTAACATGGAATATAAACTGATAGATGTACTGGTAAATGACAAATCAGCATTATGCTACAAAATATAGATACGTGAATATAGTTGTACTAATAGTACATTTTGTTGGCTCTTTTTTTTTTTGAAATATATATCATTTTCTTTTTTCTTCTTCTTCTTCTTCGTATTGTAAATGGTAGCAGTCATCGATCGTTGTATTTAGTGTGAATTCCTGGAATCTATATAGGAAAAAGATGTGATTTCTTTTTGTTCTTTTGTTTCCATTTTTGACAATCATTGCACTCGCGTTCTTCTTCTTTATAGGCTATATTTACGAGAGAAATGATAACATACCCGTTCTATAATATTGATAACTACTTTATGTGTACTGTACAATATAGTAGAAAATTGGGATGTAGATTTGTTTATTAGACAGACATATAGAACGATTATCATTATTATTATTATTTATTCAAATGATTTTCATGAACATACTTTTAAAAGCAGGTATGTCGAAGAACTTCTTCATTATAAACTATAAGATTCCGAAATCAATGTGTATATATTAAATGATTTTACTATTTTACCACAAAAACGATGTAAATTATTACCATCGTGAATTCATTTTTTTGTTTTTGCAAAGAAATAAGATGTAGACTCATTTTATGCTCAATTATTTCTCATTAGTTCCCTCCTTCTAACACATGGTAATAGTCAAAGTTCCAGCGGATGAAACGCTACTTTGTTGATAAAAATGTTTGTGATTGAAAATATTTTTAATGTCACATTAGTGAAATTTTTGTATAGTCTTTAATTCAGCATGCAATAGTTACCTTACGATATCCCAAGTAATCCAGTATATTTCTAGAGTATACGAGTTATTTTTTAGTCTTATTTCAAATGCATGTGATTTAGCGTTTCAGACACAAATATCTCCGTTGGATAGTTTTGGATTTGATTCAATTATTTAGACATAATAAATCGATTTTGGGTCTAATAAAATATGATAACTTTCGATCAAGTGTGAAAACCTTTTAATCTGAAGATCTAATTAAATAACTCAATTTTACTGCCATGTGCACGCATAGACTAAATTAATCTCTCTTTCAAATTCAGCAGTTAAAAAACTCTGAAAAAAAAAACATAATAATAATAAAATCAGTCAAGAAACTCAAGAAGAATCTCAATCCATTTTCTATTAGAATTATTTTAATAGTTCCACCACATTGAATAGTAAGTCAAACATTAGTTATTATTTCATTTTCATATTTATCAAGTAATTATTTTAATTTGATATCAATATTATTATATAATTTTTCTCATCTTTTTGATTGGTTATTCGATTCTTAAGCTTGATGATATTGACATAAATGTTCAATTATGTAATACTTTACCAAAGTGACATATTTATAGATGTATCAAAAAAAAAATTTTTTCCAACCAACTGTTATAATTCTCAACATGATTATTTATTCTTGATAAATCATTAATTATTACATCATATACATTCCATGTATAAATCTCATGTAAACGAACAAATATTATTTATACAGATTTGAGTCTAAAATAAAAAAAATCATTAAATTCTTTTGTATCTATATTTTCTATTATGAACAATTTGATATTGAATGTGTACAATTCTATTGTGACAATGTAATTCATTCGAAGAGTATAGTGTACAATGATAAACTTTTACCGAATAAATTTTTTGCTAAAAAAAATTCTATGTTAAAAAAATATTATATCCGGATGAATTGACTATCCATCAAACATGATAACATAATTCAATCTCTATTTTAAAATATTGTTCTATTCTAAATTTTTAATTTGACAACTAATAATTTACTAATTGTTGTAATACTAATTGTTTGCTTGATATATTAGTAATTCGATTCATCGTTGTACTATATTAATATTGTTAGAGTACAATTTGTGATAGAAGAAGAAAATGTTTTGTTTTTTTTTTCTTCTTTTACCTCTGTCTCTCTCATTCATATGGATGTAATTATTTTTGTTTTCTAACATATCATCACTTAATACATTATTAATAGAGATAATTTCTTTATTAATCGATCTACTCATCAGTTTTACATGAAAAAAAAACATTTTTTTACAAACAAAAAAAAAAACAAAAAAAAAAAAATGTTTGTACGAATGTTCTGTTCTCTATGATAGTTGATTGTTATATATGACCCCTTTATGCTAAAAAAAATTTTTATTATCAATATCGATGATGCGACTGTTTTAACTTATACTCGGTATCTGGCCAAAAGAAATGTCTGACAAGCAGAAAAACTATAAAAAATCGACATAACTTGTATATATTTTTTTTTTACAGTATTTATATGATTATCAGCTTTTCCAAACAAGAAAAGTATTCTTTTTTTTACCGCAGGTCATTTTCAGACATTTTTTATATAGACAACACAATTTTTTCATAGTTTTATTCTTATCGTGTAACTCTTTTAACCATATGTTAGTACTAAATTGTAACATAAAAATATGTTCTAAGCTAAATGAGAAAAACAGAGGAGGACATGACAATATGTTTTTACTTTAGATTAGTCCGCAGATTAGTCATTCTGCTTCAACACAACCGCTCGACGATGCCGATCTATTGTCGTATCGTGTTCATCGTCGAAGAAGTATCTTATCTGATTCTTCTAATAATTTAAATTATTCATATCGCAATCAATCTACATCATCATTACAATTACGTTATAATTCATTACATCAACAACGACGTCCTTCATCATTTGATAATGGTAATTTTGATTATTCATATACGAACCATCATAATCATTTAGATAATAATCATAACACGGCGTACGTTAAATTAAAAAAGTTTACTGAACGTTTACTTGAAATTGAACGTAAAGCACGTGAAAAACGATGGAATAATAATCAAACAACAATAGGAAATAATGAAAATAGTCAGAAACAATTGACTACAAATAATCGAAAAAATGAAAATGAACATATAGAAAAAATAAATAAACAATATGGTCTATGTGTACAAGACGTTGTTAATCGTTTAAATCGACGACGAAATTCAAAATCAATAACATCTACTGTAGTAAATGAAGTACAAATGGATACAACAACAACGATACCAACAACAATTGATAATAATATAAATAATCAAAATATTTTAACCCGATTTATTAATGAAAAACGAAAAAGATCTTTGAATTCGGATGAGCTAAACGCAACGAAAGTGACACAAAATCATTTATTCACCCAGAGGTAATAAACTTATGATTTATTAAAAAGAAATTAGTAACGACTATTGAGCCTAATCAATCATTTTTGCTTTCTTTCATGACTCATTTAAGTTACAATTAGTGACAGTGATCCGTACCGAATGTAAAAATCACCTGGTTATGAAAACATGATATTAACTTACTTACACACAGATGCCCGTTTTGTGTTTTCTACAGAACAAGGTGCTGATCAAAAATAGATAAATGAAGGGATTTGTTTGCGCGTACCGGTTATTAAGAACTTCCTAAAAATCATTTTTTTAGTCATCATCGTTCCATTAAATATTTCAAAAAATCGTGTATAGACATTTTGCGTATGTTGAACAGTTGTGAAAGTTTTTATGGAACAAGATACATGATATTACAGAAGACCAAGGTGGCGCTAGTTTATCCCCATGTCAAGTCGAACAAGGAAGCGTATCATGCTTGTCTTAAATGTTTCTTTCAAAAGATCATGTATAGATAGTTATCAAATATTTTGCCGGTGCAAAAAAAGAGAAACTAATTATGCAGTCCGTGTATCTACATTCCCATCTTTTCTTTCATTATCTAATTTCGCATTTTTCCTTCTTTCTATCAGATATAAAATGAAAAAAGGAACTTCATATTCTTTTTTTAAGTTTCTATCGCCTAACAGTTTTGATTCATGTATTACGATTTAGCAGTCCATATGTAGGCTTCAGTCAGAAATAAACGTTTTTTCTCTTTCTGTTTTACTGTGTTTTATTGAATAGAGAAAAAACAGATTTTCACCATAGGCAAACAAAACAAGGGCTCTTTTTCTTACAAGGTTCTGACCAGCAGACTGATCAAGCAATCTGAATATTCTTTAAAAATGCCATATATCATGATCAGTACTGATGATCACCTCTTTCTTCTGGAATACATTATGTGACCTTCGCATAATCTTCAACTATTTCCACCTTGGAGACGTGCAGAGTAGCTGTTTCTGGAGCCCTGATACTACGCTGTGAAAAATTGTTGTGCCCTCCCCCAACCCTACACTGTGGTGGTACCGGAGTCATGGCGCTGCCCTACGATATAATTCGTGGAGATTTGTCATACAAAACCCAAGCCCTATCCTGTGACTTCATGTGACATTAGAGCCCTGGTCCTACACTACCCTAGGGTAGGGCAGGATAAGGGTGCCCTGCACATCTCTATTTCACCTTGAATTTTCTCTATATCTGACAAAGGAAAATGTTGAATAACTCTGTTTTGGAAAATCTAAATTCTAGGTAACTTAGAAATCATCTCCGAGAAACGTTTTTCATCTCTTTTTTTTCAATATAGTTTACCGAACGGTGATCCTGATTTGAACAATTTTGTAACTGAAACTCCTTCATTCTATAATGATACGGACGTTCGTAAAGCGAAAATTCGACGAATTCAAAGTGATTCGGTATTAGCAAAGTTTTCCCGTCGTTCACCAAGACAAAACCTTCGAAAAGTAAAAACAATGCCGGCAATGATGATTATTAATTATCCAACAATCAAATTGAACCAACAAAGTAATACACCACCTCTAGTCACAGTAAGCACTTTTAAGAATATCATCTTGTCGGATGACTTTAAGAAAGACTTTGTTTTTAGGAATTAAGAGACAATACAATAAATGAAACTTTGCTTCCTATAACACAGCAGATAGTACCCACTGCTAGTGGTTCTCCATCTATTGAAGAAGACACTCAGCAATCATCGTCTATAAAACGAGAAAAACAAGTTGTTTTTGAAGTTAAATCAAATACTTATAAACGAAAAGTAGAAGTGAAAACAAAACAAGAAGATAAGATTTTAAAAAAACCTGCAGCTTCTATTTCGGGAGCTGTCATACAACCACCAGACAGTTGTGTTCCAGAAAGTCCGTCGATATCAATGTGTACGCATGAACATCGACGAGCATCATGTGAGCAAATTTATTTTTTGATCTTTACTTCAAATTGTTTCTGCTCTCTTCATTTAGTCTCAAACAGTTCTCTACAAAGTTTCAAAGTTAGTATTAGTTCGTCTGATTCATCCACAAAACTTCCAACAGCTACAGACGTAACTGATGATAGTACAAGTGATATATATACATCGATGCTTGGTAGTCTCAGAGAAGACAGTTACAATGATTTTACTACGGCTGTTGATACGAGTAGTCATTTGGACGATTTTGATTTACGTCGCGATGAAGAGTTTGATAAACGACCATTATTGGAACTTATATCAGAACTTCATAAACACCACATTCCGCAAAAAATGATATCGGTTGAAAAAGGGCCACAAGAGCAGTTGAAATCGAGCCAAGAAAGTTTGCTATTATCGCCAACTGAATATCAAACAGCTATTTCACCGGCAGCTTCCTCATCATCAGCTCGACCTCTATCACCCACAATCGTTCCACCAAAACAATTTAGCCCATTTAGACCGGTTATCGTTCACAGAAAGTACCAGGTAATATGAATAATGTTTTTGACTAAGAATATTTTATATGAAAAACTATTCATGTCCTTTATTTTACTAAATCCCGATGAAAAAATTCGACATGTATTTATTTTGAATGTTTTATATTTTAACTCTTGTACTCCCAAGCCGATTTTAGACACAGCAAATAGAATGCATTCATCGAATGTATTTCATACTTCGATCCATGCAAAGAAAAAAAGTTCATCTCATTTTCTTGTTTTTTGAGAACAGGGTCTGAATAGACCCTGGTTGGTAGTACAAGGGTTAAATAAGATTTTCGCACAAAATGATATCAAGACTTTAATCTCCAACTGTGCAGTTAATTAATTCTCGACGATAAGCTTTACAATATACCAGAATATAACTTCTCACTAAATCTTAATAAGATCCTGTAGAACTGGCCATTAACACTAGAATCCTACTTCTTTTTGCGAGTATAGCCGAAGCCCGCAAAAATTGATAATAAAAGTTTGATTTGAATAAGGAAGATTTTATCTAGTAGTAACTCCTTTTTCTGTAGATGTCGTTATAAGTTCGTTCCTCTGGTTTGATTTTTTTTGGAAATTTTATAGATAACTGATGAGTCAGTCACTGTAACAACTGTTTTCTTGAATAGTTTTGTCTCTCATTATAGCGGCTCTTTGTGTTTCAGTCTCCAATCGGTCGATTTGAATTTGTTGACGGAAATGAGAACATTGCCGGAGGTGGCGGTAATGTCCGGCGAAATAGCCGAACAGGTGGTCCGGTTATTCGCAGTCATACATTTAATTCAAATCATGTTGTTCCCGTGAAAGATTTAAGCGTTGAATCTGTCGATTCCACGCAAACAACGGATGATACAGATCGCATGCATCACATATCAACACCAGAATTATTTACAGCGTTGCCAACGATTAGCGGACAAGAATTAATATCACAGGAACATGAAAGAACGGCGGAGGATAAAAATGAAGTAGGTTTTTGATATACTATTGTGTTTTTAACTGTAAAGCACAACTTATTTACGATGAGATGTTTAACTTAAGCTTAGCACGACATTACTTGTAAACAACTATTTCTCGTATAATAGCTCTTTTTCAGTGGCGGCGCGAAGAGGTTGGGAGCATGGGGGGGTAAATCCAAAAATGAGAGTAAAGGGTCCATGACTTCCTCCAAAACGGGAGTAAATGGGTCTTGATTTTGTTCAAATCGGAGTAAATCCCTCTCCAAGTTTCTCCGAAATGAGAGTAAATCGTTCATATTTTTTTCACAAATTGGGAGTAAATTTGACCAAATTTTTTAAAAAGTATGGAGGGGTAACCCCCCCGGTCGAACCGCCACTGCTCTTTTTGAATTTAGCACAGAAAGAGCTTATCTCACCATCAGAAACCATCGATAGATATGACTTCTGACGAACCGTATGTAAGCGAAATCAGGCTAGTCTTTCGATTAAAACCACAGTTTGATGATCAGTAAAGGGACGGCTCATCATCTTGGAAGATCACCAACTGCAGAGGCTATTATTGGACTACTCATAGAAGACAAGTCTGACTTGTCAGCACTCTACATCGACGACAATGGCCTGAAAGGGATATTATTCTTCCTTCTTCTCATCTTGACAGATATCACAACGGTATGCATGACAGTATGATTAAACTGCATTTATATTGAACAACTATAAACTATTACGTTTTATATTTCGCTTTTTGAATAGTGCTAAGTGTAGCATTGATCCGAGCAGATTGACTTTAGTTCATCGTATTTTCTTGTAGAAAAAGAGAGCGTTTTACTCAAGGAGGAAAAAGCAGATTTAAGTCCAGTTATGGACTTTCAAAGTCTGTCAAAATTCACGTAAGTCCAGAGATTCACAGGGACTTTTATGGATCTATGTAGACTTCTAATGACTTACGTCGATTTAGATGGACTTACGCGGATCAGAGATCCGCACGGGCCGAAAAATTTTGACTCCATAAAGGAAGTTCTGGACCGTACTCGGACCAACTATTCCCAAAAACTTTCTGGCTCAGAGCGGAATTTTTTTATTGCATCTGTATTGCTTCCGCTAGCTAAGTGGTGTAAATGTATTTCTCAAGCTAATATTTATATTTTCATGACTTTTTGGCTTTCATTTTTTTCAATCTTTGTAGGAATTAGCTAAACATAGTTATTAAGATGTCGCGTAACACTGGTAGTACTATTTCTCGGTATTGAATACCCACATAAATTAGAAAAAATGTACGTTAGATTTTCAGAGTTCATCTAAGCTCGCATAAGTTCCTTAAAATCCATAAAAGTCCAAAGTCTGTTTTTTCAACCTTGGTTTCACTCTTACGCTGAAAAATATTCAACGAAGTTTATCTTCTAATATTCTGTTTTCTTGTGTGTCAAAAGGTGTTATTGTCGTGTAACAGGCGCCTCTTTTTGTTATCGTCTTCTATAACGGATATTATCTGTAGAATTTGTGAATGTTCGTCTTTCGACAATGTTAGTCGAATAAATATCAGTTTCATCTTCTACATTTTTTTATCATAGTTTTATAGGAGCATAATACTTCAGTCGCTTTTGTGCTCGATTTCTTTTCAAAAATGGATCACATGCCAGATAAATGTTACCTTTCTATCCCAAAACAAAAGTAACATCGATATCATTGATTGCACTATCTAACCTCCTTTTTTTCTGTACCATTTTTCTTTGTTAAAAAAAAGAGGTCTTTCTCTAAGAACAGTTAGTGTACGCGTAATATTTCTCTCTTTCTCTCTTGATCTAGCATATGTGTCCAGTAAATATTATTATTTATATCAACACAAAAGGTCATTAGTATTTGCAGAGAAAAAAATCGACAGTAGTATGTGTAAGAAAGAAGAAGAAGAAGAGAAAAACGATAAATAAAATGGTATTATTGAATCCTCCCAGTTTAAGAATATAGAAATATATAGTTGTGATCGACCGGTCAACGTATCTCTTTTATCGATGTATATATGTGGATATAGCAACCTTGAATATTGCACATGTTCCGTTCGTTGTTTTTTTGTTGGTAATACTAAAAAAGATATATCGCGCATTCCATTCAGTAATTGACGCTAATAGTTCTAAGATAAATAATAAGAGAAAAACATGCACTACATATCATTTTTACATAAAAAAAGGGGCGAACGAGAAAACGAACTATATTTTCTGCTATGTGGGTGTATATAAGTAGATCATATAAAGAAAAGAGAAAGAGAGAAAGTTTTGTGTCGGTTGTTTAGTTTAATCTGTATGTGTGTTTGTATACAAACAAAAAATTAATGATAATAATGATTTTGGACGTTTTGTGTCATTATTATTAGATAAATTTTAAATGTTAAATAAAACATCAACGTCTACCCATATTATTGGTGATCATATTAAAAAAATACAAACAAAAAGTGATGAAAGTCTTCATCATATTCGAGCTTCGGCTCCAATTCCTAATGATGAAATATTGTGTACATTGAGACAGTATGCCGTAAGACGGCACCATTCGGCACCTCAACACGAGTGTAGATGGCAGCAGGTAACTCTAATACCAACTTTGAGCAACTAAAGAAAGACTAAAATCAAAAACATGTTATTATTTACAGCTGAGTAAAACTGTCAAAGTACCGATAATTTTCTTAGAACATTCGTTCACTAATTAATTATTCTTCATCATTGTGCCACCTTTACATTATATCGAAAAAAGCAGTGATATTTGACGAAGACGTTTAGAGATGAAAGAGAGTTTTTTAATGCATAATTCGTAGTATATCGCGAAAATTATCAGAAAAAATTTAGTGAATAATAGAGACTATCCTTACATTTTTATGTTGCTTAAGCATAATTATTTTATTTTTAGGCAAAACGTAAAGCAATTGTAATGCAAATGTATGATACAGAAAAATCGTACGTTGAAGCATTAAAAATTCTAGTTACAGTAAGTATATCCTTTTGATTGTGTCGTAGTAACATTATATCAAATAATCTTTTGTATTTTTCTTTAGAAATATTATTTACCAATGAAGGATCGGACGATTATAAGCAATGATTTAGTAAATGATATTTTTTATAAAATTCCAGAAATTCATATGCATCATACGGTAACGAGTCATATTTGAATTCTTTCCAATATTTCAGCAAGTTTTGACATCGAGAGCAAATTGTAGCAAATATTTTCTTCACATCTGCTTTATGCTTCAAATCATATGTTCTCATTCGTTTTCTCCAGTTAGCTTAACTTTCAACAGACGTATGAATTTGAAGAGCAATAGTTTCTTATATCCAAAGTTGTTATGAAATGTAAAACATTGGCACTTTATATAGGTCACTTTCTTCTTCAGGAGTCTTAGAACAAAAGTTTTTCTCTCTCATTCTCATTCGCCCGCATCATCACTAAATGTTCTGTTAACCGTGATTGATGTATGCCATCTATTGCTGACAATAATCGGTTATCAAAACAACTTTATCTATTCTTACATAATGCTGTAGAGATGATTGCTTTTCTTAGGCATTCTTTATCTCATTAACACAAAAATTAGCATTATGGGACAATAAACAAACTATCGGTGATCTGCTTCTACAAATGGTATGATTTAATAAATGACTTACTTATACAGTCAAATGTATTGCTCTCTACTTGTTTTCAAATAGTTTGCTAAACAATCAATTATTGAAACATATACAAGTTTTGTTACTAATTATAAAACTGCACAAGAAGCAATACGATTATGTCGAGATTCATCATCATTCAACAAATTTCTCGAGGTATGCATTGTTTTAAAATATTTGATGACAATAAGTGAAGTGATGAGACTCTTATCCTAGCAACAAGCAAAAGACCACCGAGGAAAATTAACATTAAGAGATTTAATTATTCAACCTGTTCAGCGCATTCCACGTTATGAGCTTTATATTAAAGTAAGATATTATATTGTCAATAGAATAGAAACGAGAGTGTAACATTGTTTTGATGGTAGGATTTTTTAAAATGCACAAATTTAAATCATCCCGATTATCAATTACTTTTAAAAGCTCAAAATGATATTCACTCGTTGGCTGAAGAAATAGACCAAGTACAACGAGAAGTGGGTGTTGGTGGCAGTAGTGTCACTAGTGGTGGTCTATTTAATGATATAGGAAGCTCGTTAGAAGTAGTACAAGATATGATTGAAAATTTATCCGACGTAAGTATCACTAATAACTGCTCAATCAGACAAAAAACACCTAGAGTAAAAGCTTCACACATGCACTTAAGAACATTTACACTGTTCTAATCTTCTCTAAGTAACTCATATAACTCGATTTCCTTTCCGCATGCGATACTGCTCCGTTTTTCCGAGTAGAGTTTATCTAAGAAATAGGCAAGTCTTGCTATTCCAAGTAGAAATATGGACCAGTCCGTCCGTGGTCGTAAATTAAAAATGTTTTTCTTCTCTGATGTACTACAGATCTTTTCTTCTTCTTTTATCGATCACGTCGAGTCTCGTGGCGATGTTTGTTTTCAGAAGATAATTCAGAAACCCAGTCATAACCAATATTATATGAAATAGTCCAGTTGTAGTTATTGTCACAAATAATCAAAGAATTCATAACTCACTCAAAATCGAATGATACCACTTAGAGCACCGAGGTAAACTCTATTTTATCTGCATAATATCTTGTAATTCAACAAAAGCTTTCAGAATCAATGGAAAGTACTTAACTTTGAGAAGGTTTTCTACAGGCCGATCAATTTATTTTGAAACGATTTGCATGCAGTTTTCTTTACAAATCGTTTCAGAAAAAAGTTCCTTACTATACCAAACGATAGACAATTTAATTCTCTACAAGATTATATATTCATCTTTAAGACTCATCTTTGATATTTGGCACAGTAAGTCTAACAGGAAAAGCTCCAAATTTTCTAACTGCACGACTCAGTTTTAAAATGCAAACTGCACTCTTTTTTTAATTGCTTATAATGAGTACGAAAAGGTTTGAGTTAATTTTATTACAGTCAAATGGTCAAAAATCTCATGCTTTACAAAAGCGTTTACCTGAAGGAAACTTATTTCAATTGGTAGTGGTTTTAATATATAAACTTCCAAGTCCACCGAAGTTTCGAGCACTAAAAGGAAGTTTTGACCATTTCAGCATAAAATCCAAAGTTCAAATCATTAGTTTATAGACCAAAAAATACAGAATTTCGCGCTCTATTAGACTGTGTAACTTACAAATAAATCTGCTACTTTTTTTACCTGAAAAACTAGAGAATACTGGTTGGTCGCTAACGCTCGTAAGATGTCCGAAAAATAGGAGAAAATGACCTTTCTTAAAGACTCTTTTTCGCTCTGAGTTCATCAAAAAATTCATTGTTTGTCATTGAAAAGACATCATATTGTAGAAAATTTCTTGCTGAATTTTTCCGTACACCTTGTTTTGTTGAACAAATGATTTTTAGCGAGATTCTGCGCAAAAAATCGATTTCTTGAAGGTAAACTTGAGGAGTTTGAAGCTTTTCCTGTTAGACTTACTGTGCCAAATATCAAAGATGAGTCTTAAAGATGAATATATAATCTTGTAGAGAATTAAATTGTCTATTGTTTGGTATAGTAAGGAACTTTTTTCTGAAACGATTTGTAAAGAAAACTGCATGCAAATCGTTTCAAAATAAATTGATCGGCGTGTAGAAGTTATCCTACGTGAGAAAATGATTTTTACTACTTTAATACAGAACCAGATTACGCAAATAAAATAGAGTTTACCACCCTCATCCACACCCCTCGCCCTCACCCACCCCTCACCTCACCCACCCCTCACCTCACCCTCGGTGCTCTGAAATAGTATCGATCGATTTTGAGTGAGTTATGAATTATTTGTGACAATAGCCACAATTGGACTATCTCATATAATATAGGTTATGACTGGGTTTCTGAATTATCTTCGGAAAACGAACATCGCCGCGAGACCTGGTCGATAACCTATGTTTTCATTCATTTTCGGATTATCCACATATAAAAGAGTATAGTTCGATGCCACGAAAAATTAAAATTTTGCTTCGCCCCCACACTGTAAAAAAAAGAAGTTCCATCTCAGTTAAGTTTGTAAAGAGCTTGATGTGTTAAAAAGATTTCTGATTTTCCATTTTTCTTCCGAACTACTACATTAAATGAAGAAATAATTTCAGAATCATAATCACCATCTTTGAAAGTATATATGCTGTCATTTCCACCAAACACGGATAAGAAAAAAAGTGAACAAAAAAACATTACCATATGGTAGATCTGAGCAATCGATTGATGAATCTGAGGCATTTCCAGCACAGATAGTTTAGACAAGTAGACTATATCATTAGTCTCAGTGTGTAGAGCCAGACGGTCACTTCTCAGTGTATACTTTACACACCAACGCCGTGCATTCTAGACGGTCACTGGGAATCGACTTGGTATTTACTTTATTTGTCATTTACATAATTTCTTTTTTACAGTGCATTTCGATGAGGATACTACTAGACCATCTAAATGCATGAAAGAAAGCGAAACTATTTGTATGTCGACTTTCGAAATACCAACTGGGTTTTCGAAAGATCTCATCCATCGGCATTCTGTTTGGGAATGGATACTAGCTGCCTGTCAACTTATTTTACTTATACAAATATTATTGCAGTTCTTATGATTAATGTCTTAATTAAGGAGTTATCGAAAACATTTGATATTGGATTTTTACTTTGAGAAAAAGTAATGATAGGCTTTTTTTCTATTTGGTTAAAATTAAAAAAATTGAAAAACTGCAGTGTTTTTACACCCACATTTGTAGTAAAATCTACTTCTGAATAAATTCATTCATTCAACTAATATACAACAAGCTTTTCGCTTGTAGATTGATTAAATAAATAAAAGTATGGAAGATAGAAGGGCAAAGCACGACGATTTTATTGGAAAGTAAGAGCATCTTATGAAAACTGCTATACATAATGTTGTCAGAATAAAGACTGAAGTAAAACATCCATCTATAAAATATTTTAATTTATATGTTTATTTCATTCATCTTCATCATAAGTTAAACTTCTAATATATAATGATATTTTGTTTTAACTCAAGAAACGTGTCATGTTTACCATTTCTTTTCTTTTTATTTATAGCTGGTTCATCCAGATCGATTTTATATCCGTCACGATATAATTACACTTCAACTCACATCTGGTATCAAGAAGGATCGTTGTATCTTCTTGTTTAATGATTTAATAATTGTAACGAGCTGTAAACGACGAAGTGGCACATTATCAAAAAAAGGTGGATCTGTTATATTGTATGTATATTCTAATATATGTCTATCAAACACTTGTCCAGTGAATGATACTTCTTGTTATATAGAAATTCACCATCTGGAAAACAATATATTGACAATGTAAAACATAAATTAATTATGAAAATACCATTGGAAGACGTTGATTTAGCATCAGGTAAAGTAGAAAAGTTTTTAATGTGAAAAAAGACATACAGTATGTTTTATGTAGGACAATTAAAAAAAACTCCTGTTGCCGCTAATAAAAGTCATTTAGAAGAAGATGTTTCAATATTGACACATATCACAGAATTAGCAAAAACAATTTCTGTTCCACATCAAGTAAAACTACATTTAGAAAGTCAAAATTTATTAATAGTTTGAAAAACTCTTGTTTTTCGTATAGCAGTTAGATGAATCCATTAAGGATACAATCCATATCGTTAATAAACATTTAATTGAAGAAAGTGAAGCTGATTCGTTGAACGATAATAAATCTGTGAATGTGCAATTGACAATAAATACCAGGTACGCTGCTGTCACTATCTATAATCGACTTATACTTGTAAATTGTCATTTACTCTATTTTTCGTTCTAGTGAACGTATTGAAACAATTGAAGTTTTATTTTCGTCTTTCGAACAAAAACTCTCATGGGAAAGAAGTTTTTTAGAAGCAAAAAAAGCTTTATGTAATATTTAACAAAATTAATTAAATATCATTCTATAAGCTAAGATTTTGATTTATTTTTAGTTGATGCTGTTGGTCGTAGAAATGTTCTGTTTCAACATGTATTAACATTACCGCATAATCGAGCTGGAATGCAGGTAATTTTTATCAAAACATTATTTTTTATTAATCTTTTAATAAGATAATCATTGTATATAGTTTTCTTGTGCTGCTGCTCGATTATCGAGTAATGACTCATTTCCTGATGTTTGGGTTTGTAATTCGGATGGATTTTCAAGTCAAGTGTGTTTGGTTAATTTACATCCAGATTTTAATTTGAAAGCGTGTAATACTGTTTGTACATCAAAAATAACGTGTGTGGCATTTGTACCTGCACATAATCCAAAACGAAGTGGTGGTAGTACTAAACGAAAACATCATCCTCATGTTAAACATGTAATAAGTGGAGGAGGAACACTTGGTGCGACACCCGAATCACTTTTAGATATTGATTCAAGTGATGATGATGACTTAAATCATGGCGATACATCTTCAAGTAAACAAGAAAATATTTTAAGTTAAATTCAAATATATGTTGTTTTTTTCGATTTTCAGTTCATACAGATCGATTGGATTCTTTAACACATGATATTTTTGAAACAAGTACATTACCAATTAGAGAAGAATACATTCCAGAACAAGATACAAGAGAAGCAACAATGTGGTTGGGAACAGAAGATGGAGGGTAAGAGAAATAATGACGAATTATAATCATAAATTGTTCGATTTTTATTTCTTCGTTAGATTACAAGTATTTCAATGTACAGAAACAATGAAAACTGTAGCACGTAAAAGTAGGATATTAAGACAGTTAGGTTCATCCATCTACAGTATTTTGTAAGTATAAAAATTTATATTGAATTATCGAAACCATCAATGTTCTTTTCAATATTATATTAGACATGCAGACAATAAAGTATTCATTGCGCTTGGTCATGGTGACTTATGTGTTATTAGACGGGATTTGAGTAAGATAAACAAGACTAGGATTAAATCGTTTTGTAAAATAACCGCTGTTGTACCTTTATTAGATGGTCGTTGGGATATTGATTCACCTTCCATAAAAACTATCGGTGATATTGATAATCCAGTCACTGTAATGACTATAGCAGCTGGCAAAATATGGTGCGCATGTAAAGATAAAATTATTGTTGTATGTCCAAATTCATTGAATGTTGAGGTAATCGTATTTCTTTTATCTGTTACTTAATATTCTAATCTTCATTACTTTTTTCTAGCATTCATTTATCGTGGATGAATGTCATCGACATGTTGGATGTATGACGTCGGGTGGTGCGAGTATGCATCACGTCTGGATTGCATCACAAGGTGCACATGAAGTAAGATTATTTCATGCAACGCACTATCAATGTCTATTAGAGACAAGTATTAAGTCATCAGTTATACAAAAATTACAGAGTAAGAGTGCTTGTAGTCATAGATATCATTCAACTATAAAAACTTAACTATTTTTCAGCTTGTGATAATATTATTCGCGCTCATAAATTTGGATGTTTACGTATAACAGCATTACACGTGTGCAAAGATATTCTATGGGTTGGAACAAGTGCGGGAATTATACTGAACATTGCCGTGCCACAAATTGATTCAACAATGACAAAAATTGGTGGTGCTCTTAATGTTAAAGGTATGTAGCACCGTTAGTTGGTTTTACAATTTTTATTGATCAATTTTTTGTTGTTGTTGCTGCTATGCAGGTTTAGCTTACGGTCATGCAGGTCCCGTCCGTTTTCTGACATCAGCTGATATTGCGTCACCTGAAAATTCCTCTATGCAAACTTCACCAGTGACAAAAACGTTAGTGTTAAGCGGTGGTGATGGCTTTGAAGATTATCAGAGTTATGATGAAACATTAGGTAAAGATGATGCAATGTGTCATGTTATTCTATGGCAACTATGATTTTATATGTGAATAATTGCATTCTGTATATAAATATATGCCGCTGGTCGGTTGAAGTTATATTTTTTTGTGTTTTCTCGGAGTTTTCTGTGTAAAGAATACGTATTGATTTTAATAAAGTGAACAACAAATCGTATGCTGATATTGCTGAGCAAACGATCAAATACCGCTCTTAAAGACGTAGGTTAGTTTTAGGTGAATTCTTCCAGTGAAATTTCTGTTCTAAACGCATTCGATTTACCGAACATTTTCCAGGATAGAAGAGCAGCTCGTGAATACGTTGATAGTAAAAGTTTCCTGCAACCGATAGAAGACTGGAAATAAATCTTGTAATTGAAAATAAATTTTAGAATATTGTTTTAAAGGCAGAATTGTCCCAGAAGATGTTTTCAAAAGATCTACGATGGCAATATTTTTTTTTCTAGTTTAAATCCTTGAATTTTATATAGCTAAACGATGTATATTTTCGTTCTGTTTGAACATAAAGGATGAAAAGAACGTCATTTTCGTCGTACATCTCTTAAGAACATCACATGAAACTACCCATATATTCTTTGATTCTAAGCGGAGCGAGTTTCTAAAATTTGAGCGAACAACGATATAGTGCTGATAGATTATAACTGCAGAACTTTATCAGACACAATCGTGCAAGAAACTAACAGTTCAGAAAATCAACCGACATAGAAAATTCAGATCGAACTTTGAAAGTTCAAATAAAAACATATGTTGTTCCACACGAAAACTGTTCCATCTAAACTGTTTTTGTTTGATGGAACCTGCATTTTCAGTAGATTAGATGTGGCACTGGATTTCCTCGAAGTCTTACGAGCAGTATCCAGTGACTTTTAAGGGTGCATGAATCGTCGGTAATCGATCATGTAATGCTTGATAGAGAGATTTAAGGAGGATTCCTCCATTTGAATTTTCTTAAACCATTCCAGTTTGTAGAGGATGCTTTGAAGTATATGTCCTGAAGGTTTTTCGGTGTACTGACACTGCTTTGTTGGGTAAAAGTTAATTACTTAAAAAAACTGTTAAGTTTATTGCACTAATTGTTATTAAAACAATTCTGCTTCATTGCTCAGTAAATCCAGTTTTGTTACGTTGAGGAAGAAATTGAACAACCTTTTCCTAATTAATTCGTTTTCTTCCCAACAAAGCAGTGTTAGTAAGCTGAAGAAACTTCAGGACATATACTTCAAACTGAGAAGAAAAAGCGAAGATTTCTCGAGTTAATGGCTGGGAGAAGATCGTTTCACACCACCTTGCCACTGCTTTTGCTTGATGTAAGCGTTCTGGAGCAAGAACACAAAAGTTGTGCAGAATCGAGTTTCGGAATCCATCACGAAAGTTCTTTTCAAAATTTACGTTTTTCGATTTTTCAATGGAGAATACAAAAATTTAAAATGCACAGAACCGTAAAATTTAATGTTAAATCAAAAAACGTAAATTTTGAAAAGAACTTTCGTGATGGACTCCGAAAGTCGATTATGCACAACTTTTGTGCTCTTGCTTCAAAATACTTGCTTCAAGAAAAACTAGTCGTAAGGGTTTTTTCGAAATATTTTCAGCTCTGAAATTCCATGGAGAAGACAAAAGTTAACTATCTGCATCGCTTCACTTAATGTAGTGGTATTTAGTAAGATATTTTTAGATTTTTTAGAATTTTTTCACAGCGGCAACTAAAAACGATGTTTATGGTCAATTTTTAAATACAAATGTAAGAAAAAGGCATCCATTTTCTGTCATTTCAAATTTTAATTACTTTTCTCGATGCTGTGCTTTTTTTCTCTCAGAAATATGAACAACTTTTGAAAAGAATGGTGGCACCATTTGGACCAAGATATAAAAATGTTTTAACAATCAAAGAAGTATGACTCAAATCTGGTTTACTTTTACTTGTTTAACACTATTTTAACCTTCAAAGACGATACTGTATACCCTGTGACTCATTTTAGGTTGATGATGATGGCACGGATATGGATTTGCAATTATTGATCAGAAACTATGATCTATGTCCGTTATTATACAAAGTCGTCTATCCTCGACGTAGTTATTTTTATCTCACATTCGGGGACGAAGTATTAATCGATTTTGATGAAGAAAAGGATGATATTTCGCTTATATTATCGACACTGATATCAGTATTTTATGTTTTTGACGTAACATATCCAACAGTTTACAAACCGTTGTTGGAAGTCTTGGAGTATTTTATCTTCGACAGGAACAATCATCAATCAAGTGCAAAATTGACTGTACCGGCACAAAACTTTATTATCGAATATAATCGAAAGACGCGATCATGATACATAATTAGTCGCTCCGTTAAAACATCTTACAAATTTCTTGCTGCTATCGAAACAAATTAAAACAGCATATCATTGCACGGTACACAACTGAATTCTTACGATATCTTATCGTACAGTACAACTTTGCTTGCAATTTTTTATTTGTTTTTCCTGGATTTAATAGTAAAAAAATATTTTTATTGTCGTTCTTCTATAAATAAGATAGTCTGATTGAGTTTTACGATTACATTTTGTTGATAAATATCCTTTTTTCTAGGATTACACTGTTTTGTTGTTGTTTTTCGCTTTATTCAGTGTAGTAAAATTGGTTTTGAAAAAAGTATTTATGTGAGCAAATGGAATATGAATAGAAAAGTACTAAATAAATTTTATTCCACGAAATATCTATTGGAAAGTAAAACCAGATCGCTTGAGATTTAGGGTTCGATCCAAGAAATATTAGAACAAGAACATGTCGCAAATAAATGTGTCGAATATGTAATGCAAATAATGCGTCGCAACCCGAACCGTGTGTCGCATGCCATAGTGACGCTAGAAGTGTCGAGTTTTACGACACATGCGACACTTTATTTTTTAGAGTGTACAGTTTTTGGATACTTTCCATAGGTTCATAGACTATGGCGGATCTGACAAGCATGTGCGCGAATATATGTGGAATTATCATCCATCATCATGATTTTCGGAAAACAACTAAATGCCATGTAACGTTTATATCGCATGTGCTCGATGTTTCGAAAATGAAAGATTTGTCACAATGACTAATAAATCAGCATAATAAATTTTTATCTTTTGCAATATATCTTATCTGAAATGACTAGCAGAAAAATCGACATGTCAAAATATGAAGGCGCTAGCGACGATGTAAAACAGAAAGTAGTAAGTAAAATTTTCACTTATCGATTAAAGCCTTCTGATAGTTACGTACTCGTAAAGTGTGTTAAAATTAAGTATCTAGTAAAAACAAGAACATAACTTTTCTCGCATATTAACAAATATCTTCTGTTGTAAGAACATGAAAAAATCAGTTCAGCAATGTTTTCATTTACCGTTTTACTCTCCCAATGGTTTTTTTAATATAAACTTGAATAAAACAAGCTATAAATGTATTGGTAGCTTTATTCTTTACCGTTTAAAGGTACCTAGGACTGCGGATTATTTTCTCTTACTGTTCAGTACGATTAGAACAGCTAGTAATAGTCGATGATGATGATCCGATGACTCACCGGTTTACAGTCTATTTTTAATGTGCTGCTCGCTATCGGTTGACTGCACTGTTCGGTTCTAGCATTGGGGAACAGAAATTTTAAATTAAATTTATAACTTTCGCGTTTGAATTTATTTACAGAACACTGTCTGAATTTCGGCACCTTACTACGGCGATATTAAGTTTCAGTTTCAGAGTTCAGAAAAGCCAACCATCATAACACGCACGCAGAAATTCTGCGTGCGTGTTATGATGGTTGGCTTTTCTTCTAACTTGGCTGTGAGAAGCTATGCTCGAACTATATAGTTGTCCTTAATGTTTATGAGATTAGGATACGCTGAAACTAAAAGTTAGCGCTGAATTTAGTTCTAGCGTAAATTTTAATTGTTCAAAGGCTACCATTTTTTTTACAATGAGGTATCCGTATTCAATCTATAAACATCATAAATAAATAACTTTTTTAGGCAATAAATCTTTTAGAGTAGTGCATACAGAAACGTGCTTCCCTTCATAATTTTGAATAATAGTCCAAAGCACGATCATACTCGCCTTTGCTCTTATAAACACTGCCAATATTATTCAGACTACGAGCAATATGTGGATGATCAGATGGCAAACATTTTTCTTGAATCTTGAGACGTTTTGAATAATAGTCCAAAGCACGATCATACTCGCCTTTGCTCTTATAAACCAGGCCAATATTATTCAGACTAGTAGCAATATCTGGATGATCAGATGGCAAACATTTTTCTTGAATCTTGAGACATTTTGAATAATAGTCCAAAGCACGATCATACTCGCCTTTGTTGTCATAAACACTGCCAATATTACCTAGACTATGAGCAATATCTGGATGATCAGATGGCAAACATTTTTCTCTCATCTTGAGACATTTTGAATAATAGTCCAAAGCACGATCATACTCCCCTTTCCTGTAATACACCAGGCCAATATTATTCAGACTACCACCAATATCTGGATGATCAGATGGCAAACATTTTTCTCTCATCTTGAGACATCTTGAATAATAGTCCAAAGCACGATCATACTCGCCTTTGCTGTTATAAACCAGGCCAATATTATTTAGTACTCTAGCTGATACTGTCTCCGATACTGGCTTGCTCATCATCATTGTTGCATAGCTATGCTCATACAGCTGCAGTGCTTTGTCGTACTCGCCTCTAAAGTCGTGAGCACGACCAAGGTTAAACTCAATGTCACTTATATTTTCTCCTTGAGGATTTTGAAATAGATTCTCAAAGTACTTCATTGATTTGTCATACTGTCCCATATCACAAAGAAGTGAACCAAACATGATCGCAACGCTTCTTTCCTCGAGCTCTTTTCTATTCAACTTGATATATTCTCGTGCTATATCTGCTCCTTTGCTTGTTACTCTTAGGTTTGCACGACTGAGATCCGGCTTTTCACGATTAACTGACTGAATTTTGAACGTTGCATCAAGATCAAACAGGACTTCCTGCTCT